CGTTGTTGCTGTCAAGAATTCCATCACCTCTTTTCGAAGAAATTTTGATGCCCTGTTCTACCGTTGCTGCAAACGCAGCCTTTCTTTTCATTTCTTCAAGAATGAAGTGCCACACTTCTTCTGTGAAATCTCGTGAGGACAAGTATCTGCTTAGTTTAATGGCATCCAAAACATTCCTTATGTGAAAAAAATCAGCCGATTTGTTCAGCCAATATGGACGGTCATCAACAAAACAGGTTATAAAGTTGCACTGAGGGATTCTTCTGGACCACCTACGTCTGTTTTTAATCCAGGCCACAATTTTGCATTCCGGAAGCGGAATCTTTCCGAGAGCGGAATCTTTCCGAGAGCTAGATTGACATCGGAAAAAATAAGAAATCCGATGGATATGAAATCCAATGTTATGGCCCCGATCAACAGACCATAGGTTAGCCAGATTTCAAACTTTCCCAACTGATGGTAGTGGTTGAGAATTAAGCCGAATGACAAAAGGGCTCCAAAAATGCAACCAAAACTAATGGGCCGGAAACCGTATCCAATCTTACAGCAGACCACAGGCAATTTGGTGTGGAGGGCTTCATACAAGAGGCTTAGCTCAGTCTCTAATTTCAGAAGGACCTCTTTTGACCCTCTTTCTTTAATTACTTTTCTGTTGGTATAGCGTACTTGTGGATGCGCAAGAGGCCCTACAAGTAGATTCTTGATAATGCCCGTGGCAGGCTCTTTAAAATGGTCAAAGCTTGCAAGATAAAATGCATAATTTCGCTCTGCATATTTGATTATTCCTGCAATTAACACTAGGAGGGTTGGGAGCCAAAGCTTCTTGCCTGGGAGTGATTGAAGGATAACATAGACAGTTGAACCAATTTGTAACATAAGCCCAAGCAAGTGCCTTAACCAAAGTTCATTATCCTCCAAAGAGAAGGATGTAATGGTATCGGGGCCACCAAGATGCAACAAAAGAAAGGGTGCCCAAAAGGCTAGGATGTCACTTACTTCGGCACGTCCCATAAGTCCAATAGTAAATGTAGCAACCCAGTCTGCAAGCAAGTATGTCAACCAAATCGGAACGACGATCCATTTATTCCCTCTTTGTCTCCTTAATGGTGCAAAAAGAATCAGAAAGGACTGAACCAAGAGGCTTAGAATAATCAGTCCTCTGATATTCCATGTACTCCATAGCTTCATCACGCTTTCAACAACTGACGGGCCCAACATCTTCTTTATAGTGTGTTCTGCGTTTGGGATTACTATGAGTCCATACTGCTTCATCAAAGTGAGTTTTTTTTTTTTTTCGTTTGTTAATCAAAAGTGAGAAGTTTAAAATTCGATATTCAATTAAGGAGAAAGTTGTGAATCTCTATAATTTTAAGATAATTTTTCTCCTAATATTTAAGAAGTAAAATTAATAGGTACTATTCCTTACATATAATCATTGATTTGAGTTTGAAACAACACGCATTAAGGCTTTCGTAAATTAAGTACTGCTGCTACAGTGGTGTTACCAATTGTTTCTTTCTGTTATATGTTTAATTGTTTATTTTTTCTCTGTTTCTAGAGTATGAATATTGCCACTCTCTCAGTACTTAATGCCACATTTTTTTACTTAATTAATTATTATATTTTTGTGTTATATTTTCTTTTAAAAAATTTGTGTTTTCTTTATTTTTAAATGAATAAAAAAAATATTATAATCAATTAAAATAATAAATTATGGTATTAATAATTAAGGAGTGGCAATAACACCACCCCTATTATTGTGTCTTGTGGGTATTTTGGTTCTATTTTTCTCATCTTTTGTTTTTAATTTTAAATGAATTTACTTCAAAAGTTTGTAAATTCATTTAAATTTGGCCCCCCTGGCTTTGGAGAAAAAAAAGTTTTGTTGGTTTGAAAGTTTGTAATTAAAGTAAATTTGGTCCATTAGCTTTTTTCAAATTATTTTTATCCTTAAATTTTATAATTCTTTTTGTTTTCTTTTTGTCATTTTCTAGTTTATTGATCTGTTGGGTATGTTAGGTGATGATTTGGAAGATTAGAAAATGGATATGCTATAAAAGATGAGGAAAAACAAATAAAGGATTGATTGAATTATGATGTTTAAATTATTAACCATGATTATTTTCAGCAATTTTTTCCTTGATGGTACTACTTTTTTCAAACATTTAATCTTGGTTTAAACTTATTTAATTTATATTTTAATCTACAAATCTTTGAGACATATCAAATATTATATATTAATGTTTAATTTAAAAAAAGATAGTGATTGATACACACTCTAATTCATTATATTATCCAACACATTGATTAAAGTATTATTATTTTTTGATATAAAATTAAAAACAAACAAGTTTGAAGACATAATTATACATATAAGATGTAGAATTGGTTAAATTAACTGTATTTACATTATATTTTTAATAATTGAACCAAAAATATACCAAAAAATCTGTTAAATCAAATGTGTACATATTCTTTTCCTTAAAAAATTCTTGCCAAATGTAATATATTAATTAGTGGCTTAAAATTTTCTCTCCTAGTCCTCATGAATCAGTTAAAACTCATGGGCGGTCTATTATTAATTTCAAGTTTCACAATATATAAATATCATTATAAGTCTCCATTGTAGAATATGGTTAGCTTGATCTTGAACTATGTGACTTTTCTCACTCTAAACTTTCTTTTAAAAAAAATATATTGTGCATCCTAAACTTTTTTTAAAAGAAATAATATTATGCAATTATAACTATATAATTTAAACTATTATATTTAAGTAATTCCTTTGATGGGGTGCAGGGCCATCCTCCTCATCCAAGGGCTACTCTTTTGCGACAAGAACACAAGGGTATGTGTTACTTTCCTCAATCGGAAAGCAATCCCAATATGAGGCGCATAACGCCAATTCTATTCAGCAATTTGTGTGCTTTTCTCCTTGGTTTTGTAGTCAAAATTCTCTTTTTAGCCGCTGGAGTTTAGGGGAAGTATTATTCTTTTTATCGTAGTTTTGGTGTGCCGCAGCTATAATTTGAGAATATGTATATGTTTCTAGATGTGTTTTGAAGGCTGAATTTGATTATTGGTGTGTCAAGACAATTGAGAATGGAAGGTTTATAACTTCTAAGGTTGTGCATAATAGGTGTTTGATGAAATGCCTGTAAGGGGTTGGTGGGTGTTGTTGATAGGGATACATTACTAGATATGACTTTAGTGTTGGCTGGAGATGCTCTCCGCTTAAGAAATCACTCGAAGTAAAAGTAATTTAATCTAAAGTGAGCAAGAGAAGAACCCATGGGTGTCTTGGTGGAATTTGCTTTGACTTTTCTGGAGATTTAGGGGAGTGGAGGTGGAGATGGAGGAGGAGCTCTGGAAATTTTGTTGAAGTAATCAATTATTGTTCGTAAGCAATTTAGAAGCATTCAGTTATACCTAAAATTAACCCATTATAAATACAGTCTCTTAGTGACGGTCAAATAACCAATTATTGAAATCAGTATAATCAATTAGAAAATAATTAGTGTATTTTTTTATTTCAACATACCCACTAATACTTATTCCGTTTATTCAATAAAATTTATAATTTTAAGTTTTCTCATCTTTAATTTTATATAAAAAAATAATAATCTGTTAATAAATTTGTTGTGAAATACGTTGAACTTGAGACTATCTATATTAATATCCTAACTAATTATATTGCACATTTTCCCTCGGCTTTCCCCGGATTGAGGTCTGGTAGGTCCAAGATAGAAACTTTACCAGACATTGGCAACCTTTGCTGGCCTCGCACAATTAATCTGACCACTTTCTTGATAAAGTGGTCAGACTCAACACCCAGCAAAGACTATAGCATTAAAAAAAAAATGTAGAAATAAAGTTTACCAATTTGGAGTAAATTTTTGCTACATAAACTTAAAGAAATAGTAGTAACAATAATAAAAAGTTGAAAACTTTTAAGTGCATTACGGGTTACCTTTCTCTTCAAAATTAGTCCTAACCTTCCTTGAATCAGATTTTGACACGCTTATTGCTCCCCCAACAGAGTTCTGCGTGGAATATTTAATAAGAACATAATAATAATAATAATTTTATTTAATAAAATTTCAATTATTAAAAGAGTTATCAAAATATTAAAAAAAGACAAAAAAAATTGTTCAAAATGAGAAAAAAATTCAAAAAATAAAGGATTGATTTGAGGTTGATTATGGATTATGGATTAAAATGTCATATATATATATGACAAGATTATTTTAACAAAAAGAGCAAAGAATCAAAGCTATATGTAGCACCAAAGAATACTCACCAATTGGCAGAAGCACAAGAATGAATTAAGGAAAAATGTTTGCAGCGAGAGGAGGAGAGAATCAGCTATATGATATCATATAGGAAATCATGCATGCAGGTATATAGAGAGAGAGAGAGAGAATGGGGTTGGACTTTAAGCACTGAACAATTGAGAAGTTCTAGGCTTGTATATTTCTAAAAGACCATTGTTCAGGTTTGCTCGAACTGCGTTTGAGTGGCATTACTTTGGAGTATGCTTTGCTTCTTTCCGGGGCAAAGAAAGGTATAGAAGCATACATATCTTTATCGTGGGTGTTAGATGCCGTTGATTCTGTCCTATGGCTGGAGAAAGTGGAAGTGTAAAGAGCATTAGAAGAATATTAAATGCAATCTGAGTCACATAAAAGGTTGCACCATGTGTAACTTGCTTGTTCCATGAGTATCATTCAGGCAAGGGACAATTAAGGCAGCTTTGGTTAAGAAGTGAATCCTTCACAATGCAATTTTAAATTGGGAAGTAATCAGAATTTCAAATTTTTTAAGCCTATATAGGTAAAATGCAAAAAATTGAGGAAAAAAATACAAATGAATCACTAAATATTAAGTAAAAGAAGAGTAGAGGGTATACTTATCCACTTGCTCAGTTGGGATTTAGTTGAGTTTTTTTCCCGTCGCCGGCGAAAAGGGGTAATAATTTATTAAAAAATTACATCTATTAAAAACAAATAAAAAAATAATTAATTTATTTATATTTTAATATATTTAATGTTTTATTTAAAATATTTAAATTTAATTATTTATTTTTTAAAAAATATTATTCAATACATTATTTTTATTTTAAAAAATAAGCACAATTTATATTAAATAAAAATTTTTAATTTAGGTGGTGGTTAATTAATTAAGAGAGGCAATATAATTAAACAATAAATTTGGAGAGGAAAAGTGGTGCTTGATCTTTAAAGTTCTTCATGGCCGAGAAAAAATTTGAAGATCCTGTATCCGGCACCGGTGGAAATCCCAAAAGAAAATTTTAACTCTCTGAAAATTTCATCCAATGCCTCCTTCGATTTTACTTTCCCCAAGGTTAAATGGATCCACAAAGCTTCTCCATTTTAAGAAAATATTTACAGAAATGCACCATATTCCTTATTTTCAAGTACATGAAACTGTCTTTTAACTCCAAATTTCAAGCTCGTGTTCTCAATCTTGTGGAAATAACCCCAAATTAACTATCCTTTTTGGATTTTTCAGGAACAAGACTCCTTCACTGGTTACCTAGACTTTAAGGTCAGGTGCAAAGACAAAAGCCCAAATCTCACCGTGTCTGATGATAGCTATAACATATCATCTAACTTTTTTTGGCCCGGGTTTTGTTTTGCAAAAACCTCAGTTCATTCTCTTTCAATTTTCCTTGCATTAAACAAAACCTCCCAAATATCAATTCGTGAAAACTGATTAGCTTTTGCAGATCTGGGTTTGTGAATTGTGAGCATGGTCAGCGTCGATGTGCAAAAGGGAAGCCAACGCGAGAGGGAACCCCGATGTAGATTTTCCTGTTCGTGCAAGGGTAAGGCTCACTCGTCGGCCTCAAACGACAAAGCTTCGCCGACTCGTTAAGCTTTGCATTGGCTCTTCATTCCCTTTGCTATACGGGTTCTGGCAGTCTGCATTCAATGGAGAAGAGAGGAGGAGAGAGGGGATTGGGTTATGACTCATGAGTAAGAAGACGGCTAAGGGGCATGTTTGTAACTTTATGTTTTTATAATTAATTTTTACGAGTATATTTTATTTACAATGGGTCCAGGTCATAAAAAATGACATGTACGAAAAAAATAGACCAAGTTGCTACATCATCATGATTTTATCGGATAGATAAGTGGGAGGACGGGGTGTTGACATTTGTTTGCATTAGCAGTTAATTTTTCGCCGTTAAATTCAGTTTAATTTTGACTGATTTCATTTAATTTTAAAATTTGAGGATTGATAAATTATAAATATATATATAGAAAAAGAAATAATATCTATCACCTTTATCTCTTAAAATTTAGGAAAAAAATTATTTCCAAATTATATCGTTTCAATTAATTTTTATTGAAAAAAATTAAACTACCATATTTTTAAAATATGTATTAAGGTGATTTTTTTTTAATTTTTTTGAAGGTAAAATAGATAAACACTAACTCCTATAGAAAAAACTGTTTTATACTAACTATATATAATTTGTCTTGTAAAATTACTTAAATATTTTTAATTTTATTTTTATTTTATTTTTTTAGAGCATTTAATTAATTTTATAGGGTGGACTTCATACAATTCATCTTGTAAAATAGTTTTCAGATATATATAAGATGAAATTTTAATAAGAGAAAACTATTTTATAGGACGGATTATATGCATTTCATCTTGTAAAATTACTTAAATGCCCTTAAATTTGTTTTTATATTAATTTTTCAGAGGTATTTAATTAATTTTATAGGACGAACTGCATGCAGTCCGTCTTGTAAAAACAGTTTTCAGTTTTAATAATATCAAAAAGTACAAAGGGTAATATAGCCCTTTCACCTTTGGTCGACCAATTAAAAAAGAGGGGAAGTACGAAATAAGAATTGCAAACGTTAATGTAATTGAAGTTATTGCCTGTACTCGACATGAAGTGGAACTACAATGCAAAAAGTTTTATGTTGTCATTTAGTTCACATCAAGACTCAATTTAGATGAACACTACTTTAAT